CCCCCCCCCCCCCCCCCGGGTGGTAATTTCAAATCGGTCTCGCACTTTGCACTCGTCCGATTTTGAAATTACTCGCGTGATTACTCCCTGAATTATACTCCACTTGGTCCAATAACTATTACTAATTTGTTGGGTCATTTAGCTGACCTTGTCGGGTTTTTGACCTGACGCCCCTCACTTCTGATCTGGAACACTGCAAGAGACTTTCTTAAATTCACAAAAATAGTACTCTACATGAAAAAAACAAGTCTGGACAAAAAAAGGCCAACTCCCCCAAACTTTTGTATTATGCTTTAGGTTCTAGAGCTTTTAATAAACGACAACTGGTCACCTCAAATAATTGGACACCCAAAATTCTTGTAGCAAAGGATTTTTTCAGGCTCCTGGGGGAGTACAGCAGCAAAACTAATCCCTTGGAAAAATTGTGGAACAATGCACTGAAACGTGTATTGATTAGGGTAATAACGCTGCCTCAAAAATGTTAAAACATGTCAAGGAAAGGATAATACACCACACCTTCATAAGGCATGGTGAGTTTGGTTTCCTCCAGGAGAGTCAACAGAGTGAACAGTATAAGGAAATCGTGGAACAAGGTCCACTATTGAGCAGTCATGTCTGAAAATCAACAATCAAAAAGCAAATTTGAAGTCATGGAAGTCTTGAATTATTAATGAGTTTGAGACTTATTTTTATTTGAATTACATAGTTTATCAGGTCCGCATTTCCAATTTTCAATCCAGGAGATACAACTTTTTCCCTGGGTGGACAGTCTACAAAGTTCTATACGGGCTCTGCTCTGAGGTCCAACCCCTTACCCTTTTGTATACCATTTTGACAGAAAAGCCTAAAGCCTAAACCCCTAGCACCAGGGTAACCCAACCTGTCCATAAAAAGAGAGGAAATGTCAGAGTGCTAGGGTAACTAACCCTTATGCTTCCAAGGTAACCCCTAACATTAGGGTAACTACCTTCTTGTAAACAGAGATTAACTAAAACGCGGCTATCAAATAAAATACTAAAATCAATTCCTAAAAAGACAGATGTTATTAACTTGTAGATGCAGTGTATGTACCTAAAGTACATAGTTGTTGAAGCACCTCAACCATACCTGCACACCAAGAGAACAAAAACCTGGAGGCGATCCAAAATCCATATTGGCCATCTTCGCTTCGACTGATGTAAACAGCATGCGAAAACCACGCCAATTTTGTACCATGTATTGCACAATTTGATTGGTTGATTTCTGACCAATTAGGATACTCGTTAAATATATATCAAATTGTTCTGTTTTACGTTTTCCTGTTGAGAGTAGCTCAAATAAGAGCAACAAATTCCCTT